GTTAGCTGTTAGCACTCAGAGCTCACAGCTCCTCATATCTGTTCAGAAACTCGACAAAAGTTAAACAAGTACAAACCACAGACTGCCTGTGTCATGGCGAATACAGTCGCTGCTTTATTTATGTCTGTATAGGCCGTTGTTGTGAGTGTGGACGGTCGGAGCATATACTGCGTTAGCTTAGCCAATCTCCATTTAGAAAACACGCATTTTAAAAGGTTTTTCGCCTGCCGTCTGTCTGCAGACTTGTCAAAGCATTAATTCATGGTTTTTACTAACCGGTATCAGTATGTTGTTACTTCGGCATCATTTTGAAACGTGTATTACAATTAAATCACGGTCAAATATGTCCATCTTGTTGTAGTTGTAGCCCCCTTGCCAGCGATTCTCTCTCTAGTTTAGCATACTCAGCCCGACTCAGCCTCGTTGTGTCTGGCCCTAGACCCACGATTTTATGAGGCCAGAAAAACTGTGAATTAGGACCCGCCGGCCGGTACTAGGCCAAGTGGAAACGCAACCAAAGACGGGCCGCTGACGTCTGAGCCCTCTTAAACCGTGCTCCGCGCTGTAGTGGAAACGCGCCAAAACATACTCTAGAGCAGAAGTGGCTTGATTTTGTTCTCAGCAGGGGACTTTGACAGAGGATTTCTCAAAAAGTAAAGAGTAAAATTACTTCAATGTATTGTAGTAGTAGGCTAACTAATACAAAGTCAAACAGTATCAATTTCATTAAGAACTAATGGTAAAATTTTCTTTTTATCACTCATCAAAGATAGCAGATAAACATACATTATGTAGGCTACTATGGAGGGGACTCTGACAGAGGATTACTCAAAAAGTACACAGTAAAAGTACTTCATTTAATTTCTGGTAGCAGTCAAACTAGTACCGAGTCCAACAGTGTCAGTTTTATTAAGAACTTTTGGTAAAAAACTCTAGAGTATGTTTCTGGCACCTGGTCACCTCAGCCGTCTCTCGAGTTTGATTTTTCAAATCAGCTGCTCTTCATTTTTTCCCCTGCTATATTCAATGAGTGATACAAATATTTTTGTCCACAAGTTCTTAATAAAACTGACACTGTTGGACTCTGTACTAATTTGACTGCTACTGTTACACCACTCAGACCGCAAGGGTATTATAGGTGTAGAAAACGTTCATTTATTAACTTCCACAAGGCACATGTGCAAGATGTCAGCATCTCAAACGATCTCAAAGCACAACACACAGACACACTTCTTCTGTTCATGTCCAGCATAAAACAATGATGAACCATCAGGTGATCTGCCCCCTTGTGGTATAAACATGCATGTGCAGGTAGACAACCTCAACCTTATGGGTGCTACACTACCAGAAATGAAATGAAGTACTTTTACTGTGTACTTTGTGAGTAATCCTCTGTCAGAGTCCCCTCCATAGTAGCCTACACCTGTTGGAGCCTATCTCTAAAGAAGTTCCAAGGTGTAAAAATGCTCCTGCCGGAGTACTGACTGGAAGTATTGCTGATATCATGTCTACCATCCTCTTAAAATACTCTGTCCAACAATATCAGTCTCAGGAAGAAATGCTTTTTAACGCTTATTAAAAGAAAAACATGCATTCTTGTACTCGCGAGGGGACATTGACAGAGGATTACTGGAAAAGTACACAATAAGTACTTCATAGTAGCTACTTGTGGGGGTAGTTTCAGTAGTACTGAGTCCAACAGGATCAATCTCACGAAGAACTAATGGCAACAAAAAATAATTCCCTCATCAAACTTAGCAGAAGTGGCTTGAGTTTGTTCTCAGCAGGGGACTTTGACAGAGGATTTCTCAAAAAGTACACAGTAAAATTACTTCAATGTATTGTTAGTAGTAATATCCTTCAGCAAACACACTGTCACTCTGGTTGCCCTCTTATGATGCTGCTGTCTTTTAATATATAACTATTTCTCAGCCGCTAATTCGTTCCTCGCAGATTCTTCAGTCTCATCAGCCTCATCCTTCCATCAGTCCCAGTCAACGCCTCCAGCACACTTCCAGTGTCTGACTCCATATGATATTGTCCTGATGCTGTAAGGGTGATGCCCCATGATCACAAAATGACCCCTCTAAAGTCTGAGTGCCAAGGACCTCATATTATGTCTGTCATTAATGTTACATCACCCATTATAACAATGTGCTTTCCTTTTTTCTCTTCTCTTAACTGAATAGTCCTGTCTTTAAGTATAATACAATGTAAAGTCCTTTTCCTGCACCATTTTAAGGCTTCAAAACAGGCATTTTTACTGTATGTGTTTGGAGAAATAACACAATCAATGGCCCAGAATTGTACTTTATAAACTATGAATCTTGTGGTGCTTGAAAAAATACACACTGGCTAAGCCGGCCAGGATATATATATATATATATATATATATATATGCCTTTTTTGGAGCCCTTTTTTGCAATATTTATTAAAATGTCACTAGTTATTTAAACAAACCCCTATCTGAGGATAATACAAGCAACCATAAAACGCCCTTTATCTAGAGAGCCATTGAAGCCCATGAAGAATGTATCCTTCCACAAATCTTTTCATCTGCTGTATTAATAAAGCTGCCACGTGTTTTCAAGTTAAGGCACTATCTGTGCAGAACATTACAAATATTCTTAATTTGCAGTATTTTATTTTAAAAGTGTTCAGAAAGACTGCATCAAATATGCTATATCTATATATCTATATAATATCAATATTGTTATTAACTTCAATCAAAGTAAATTCAAATAGCGGGCAAGACTTTCCAAGGGGTAAAAATGCTGCTGCCGGACTACTGACTGGAAGTATTGCTGATATCATGTCTACCATATCCTCTTAAAATACTCTGTCCAACAATATCAGTCTCATGAAGAAAGGTGTTTTAACGCTGATTCAAAATAGCAGAGAAACATGCATTCTTGTTCTCAGGAGGGGACATTGACAGAGGATTACTCAAAAAGTACACAGTAAGTACTTCATAGTAGCCTACTTGTGGGAGTAGTTTCACTACTAGCCTACTGAGTCCAACAGGATCGATCTCACGAAGAACTAATGGCAGAAAAAATTATAACAAACTCGAGAGAAGGCTGAGCTGACCGCAGTGCAGAATCGCTGTATAGTTTAAATCTCCTAACAATGTTGTCCATTTTAGACATAGGTCTATTATATTTACAGCCCTTAATAACATTCATTTTCTGGGCTCAATATGTGTCTTGGCTGTTTTCGTTGTGAAAACAAATGGACCGTAGATACACGGATTGACCGTCCTCATCTGCGCTCTTATTTTGAAAGACAACTTCCGGTAGCAGAATATGAAAAAACGGGGGGGTTTTTTGTTTCTGTTTTCTAGTGATTTTATTTTTTGTTTTGAGAAGTAGAAAATGAAAATCATCCCGTTTTTTAAGTTTAGTAAATCCCTTTTTGACCGTGATAAAGAAAATCGCCTTGTATTTCAATTTTGGTTTTTCAATTTGAAAACGAAAATCAAATATCCAGTCGTTTTTTGTTTTTGAATTTCCATTTGTGAAAAGAAAATCCAATGACCAAAACATACACTGACCATTATGGGATGTATCTCTGGAATTATGAAAGTTATGAATGAGAAAAGTAATAGCCATCGATTCCCGACCGAGCTGAACATTTTGATGTTTGAACGGAGTTTCTGCGATGTGGAATGCGGGAGAAGAGGGCCAAAATAAGTCGGCGGAATAATAATAAACTTTCCGTGCGTAGCATAACATATAGTTGGAATGCTGTCTCAGCATTCCCACTAAATGAATTGAATGATGAATAAACAGTGAGGGGTATGAATACACTAGATACACACAGCAGCCTGTGAGCAGTATGAACAGTGTGTATGAATATGCTAAGATATATAAAGTATGACAACGGTAAGCAGTGCAAGTACAGTATAAAATATATAGATATTAATTTCATGATGATAAACATTGTGGAACAATGATGAAAAATGTGAATGGAAGTGGCGACGTAAAACTGACACAAAACAACAACAAACTTTTGCCGAGCCAATGGAGAGTTTCATCACCAGCACGGGGTAAAACCCACCGATGAGCGCTCAGCTCGAGATACCAGCGAGTCGTTTCCCATCAAGCATTTCGCTTCTGCAGCCCGTGGAGAGAAACTGCGTCGCCGCGCCTCGCCGCGCCTCGCCGCGCCTCGCCTCGCTCTCAAGTCTGCGGGTGTCTTTGTCCCGCGAGATTTCAACGTCTCATGTAGGCGAGCCTCCAGAACAAGTCGGACAAAATGACTAACCATCATGCAACGCACTAGCAAGACGGCGATCGGAATTGCGCAGGTCTGCGTCGGTCTCGCTCGTCTCAAACAAGCCTAGTATGAAGTAATTGCGCATAAGAAAACAATGCAATACCGTTTTGTGTGTGTGTGTGTGTGTGTGTGTGTGTGTGTGTGTGTGTGTGTGTGTGTGTGTGGTGTGTGTGTGTGTGTGTGGTGTGTGTGTGTGTGTGTGTGTGTGTGTGTGTGTGTGTGTGTGTGTGTGTGTGTGTGTGTGTGTGTGTGTGTGTGTGTGTGTGTGTGTGTGTGTGTGTGTGTGTGTGTGTGTGTGTGTGTGTGTGTGTGTGTGACCTGATCAGCCCAGAAGGTTCCCCACAGCCCCAGAACCACCCAGAAACTCAAAGTATGCTTACAGCACACCCAAAAAATGAACTCAGCGTGTTGAGCCATGCATTTCTTTGTTTGAGTTAAAAACAGTCACGAGTTGTTAGACCGGTTCTGACACGCCCTGCACTTTTCTCTGATGAAGATAACTCAGATAACAATCACACTGCAACTCATTCTACCGGAAACACTGACAACAGTACATGGAAATCTTTCTAAACTCATTCTGTCTCACTCAGAGAGAAACCGTGCACAATATTTCAGACAGATGTTGAGAATCAGCATCAAGAAACATGTGTCCTGTTCAGGTAAACAGTGACTCTGTCCAGGTAAACAGTGACCCAGCACCATGTGATCATGAGGATTCTCACCTGCTGAACTCTCTTCAGGTCTACTCACAGACTCTCTTCAGGTCCACTCACAGACTCTCTTCAGGTCCACTCACAGACTCTCTTCAGGTCTACTCACAGACTCTCTTCAGGTCCACTCACAGACTCTCTTCAGGTCTACTCACAGACTCTCTTCAGGTCTACTCACAGACTCTCTTCAGGTCCACTCACAGACTCTCTTCAGGTCCACTCACAGACTCTCTTCAGGTCTACTCACAGACTCTCTTCAGGTCCACTCACAGACTCTCTTCAGGTCTACTCACAGACTCTCTTCAGGTCCACTCACAGACTCTCTTCAGGTCCACTCACAGACTCTCTTCAGGTCTACTCACAGACTCTCTTCAGGTCTACTCACAGACTCTCTTCAGGTCTACTCACAGACTCTCTTCAGGTCCACTCACAGAAACATTGCTCATCTCTTCCTCTTCAGTCCTGAGTCTGCCTGCATCTGATCTGAACACGCCTTCACACCGTCAGAAATCCAGAGAGTAAAAACACGTCAGAGTCACGTGGAAACCGGCCTTACAGGATGTAGCTGTCAGCCTGCCAGACTCTCCCTCACCTGCCTGAGCTGTTTAACACAGACAGTTTTTGATCCAGCGTTGCTCCCACTGCTTCATGGCACTCGTCTTGTTCGGAGAGCGGAGCATCGTCACACAGCCGCACCTGCACACACACACACACACACACACACACACACACACACACACACACACACACACACACACACACACACACACACACACACACACACACACACACACACACACACACACACACACACACACACACACACAGTGGTGTAGTGGGCGTTGGACGCGGGGGCGCCGTACCCCCACTTATTTGGAGCATGATCTTTTTTTCAATAGTCTAATAAATATAAAATCATTGCCAGTGTTATCAGTTGCAAGTGTGCATTTGTTGTAATAATGACAAAAACATAATACATTTCACAGTAATTATAATAAAAAATAAAAAGATTTCCTTAAAAAAATATGATTCGTCATCACGCTCGTGACCCCGCGGCGAGCTGGGGGTGTGTCAGTGTCAAGCGACAAACTCTGGGGAAGAGCCGGGACGCCAATACGGAAGTGCCACAAACTGCAGTTCATATATTGGCCGATAGGCGCTGACTGCAGAAAGGAGCAATTTCCATAGAGCCCCATGTTAAAATGCCCAATTTTACAGCCTAAAAAAACATGTTTCTACCCATGGATCCAATAAATATTATTATAGATATAGTTAGATTCCACCTTCATGATTATGGATCTGTGAGTGAATTGTTTTCTAACATGACCCTTTTATTTATATTAGGTCTTAAAGTTTTTGCATAAATTAGGGCGTGGTCACATTGAGTGACAGCTCTGTCAAGTGACTGCTGCTGTTAGCTTCTTGTCTCTCTGCTTGCTGCTCCGTCTCCGTGAAGCTACAGGGACTCTGCCTGCTCAGTTCATGCAGGGAACACAACTTGACCCCGGCCGTGTTTGTTTGTTCTTCATGCTTATATATCGGACTATTGTGACTCGCTCTGCGGTTAAAACAGACGGTGCATCAATGCCGTTTTGCGGTAAGTGAAATTAGAGTACTTTATGTGTTTATGATTTTAATCAGCTACGTAATGAATGTGTTAGCGTGTAAGCGAGTGGTAGCTACATCGGTGCTAACGATGCTAATCGTAGCCTCCAAGTTAAAACCATAGACCGTATATATAAAGGTTAAAACGAAATAGACAAGTGTTAAGCGTTAAGTGGGATAATACTGTAGAACAAAAGGCTTTTGTTTGAGGTTGATAAAATAAGATCATCCTTGTAACTTAGAGAGATATGTTATTATGTAGGTAGGAACTTTATGCATCGCTAAGGTTAATTTAAATTGGCTATGCTCGAGTATGTAGACAAGCTAATGTCGAAGTAGTGTATGTGAAATCAACCTCACAATAAGATGTGTGTATATTACAATTATTAATGTCATATTTCAAGATGATTACTTGGATATTACAATATGGTTGGTTGAGCTGGAGTTCATTATTGAGCTTACACGTTAACGTCACAGTCATCTGAAGAACGAACCCAAACCTTGTTGTTTTTATTAATTGCATTACCAAATTGGTATCAAATAAACAGTAAGCATTGGTAACACAACTTCCAAAGTTACAGTAAAATAAAAAGGACCCTGACTCGGCCAATACACAATCCAACATGTTCAACAGAAGATATGTTATATTGTTTGTACACATGGTACTTTACATATATATCTGTTTGTTTAACGTGTCCAGGTGATGCAGACAGGCTGGACCAGAGAGTGAGAGACAGAACTGGACTCCTCACAGCAGTGAACTTCAGCACAGGTACAAATATTCTTTTTTTCATACTGTACAAAGAATCAAGAAAGATATTGGTTTAAATAAATGAAGTATTGACTTTAATACACTGATATACATTCCATTAAACAATACTAAATACTAGATCACCTACACATCAGTTAAGTTGAGGGTTTTTTCCATGCAAAGGGTTACATTTAGATGTTAACAAGCAATATGACTGTCAGCTTTCTAATTTAATGTATTGAAAGCAAAGCTATTTAACACATAGTGAGAACTGCTATTTATCTCTCAATATTGTCTGTAAAAAACTTGGTAAAAGTTATTCTTTCAGTGAGAGAACAGAGCAAGCTTCTACAGTTGCACTACGTTTTGATAACAGTTCAATATTATTTTGATAATAAAATATATTTCAATGTTGATGAATGTCATACTGTTCATTCATAATCAGATTGTCTTTGTAGCTCACTGTTAAAATAAAAGAAAAACATACAAAACATATAAAATAATTATATCTACAGCCCCTAAACACACAAACACACCTCTTTCATAAATAACACAATAATATGTTTTGTTTCCTGTAATTTTTGTTAGGAAAGGACATGCCTGAAAGACACGACTCAACATCTCCTCTTTCTCCGAGGGTCAAGAAGAACATCCAAGAGGGAAATTAAAAGCTGATGTTATGAGATTTTAAGACCAGTACAGGACATTCACTAAGAAACTACTTTTATTGTGAAGTCAGCTGATCGAATGCACCTATTTCCACATCTACACTCCATCAGCTGATTAATTCTATTTGCCTCACTTCATGAGCTTCACAACATGTACCTTGTACCGCAGAGTTTGCAACGTCACAAATAAATGGGGCCAATCTTCAGTCAGATGTGAATGTGTAATCTAACATTTTCAGTAAGAATAATGGACAAAAGGAGTGCAAATACAAATACAATTTATTGAAATGTGAACCAAAAGTTAATCAAACATGTTTTAAATAAAAAGCACATATGGACAGAAGGTGTAAACCTATTAATTGTATAAGTAAACACATTTAGTCAAATAAAGTGACAGACTAGGCCTGATCAGAGGCCTGTACTACGAAGCTGGATTTTCGCTTAGCCGGCTAAATTCAGGGAAATCTCGGGCTTTCCGGTCCTACGACGCTGGTTCTCTTTTTAGCAGGCTAGATTTCCATGGTAACTTATGCTGAGCGGCAAACCTGCTCCGGAGCAGGTTAGGTGGCAGGCGAGATCAACTCAGTGAAAGCACTGCCTGCTGACCAATCAGAGGTTTAACTTCTTCATATTTGACTAATATTAAAGTTCACTTTTCATTCAGGAAGTATGACGCTGCGCTGTCAGTACGCTTGTCCGTGTTTGAGATTGGTCGAATGCTCCAAATACCACCCCTTTCATGTGAACGCGCACCTAACTAGATAGGACACGGCGGCTTGAGCGATCCACTTGATATCCAGCGTCGTAGTACAGTTTAGCGCCAGCGCGAATGTTTTGGATTACGCCAACCGGCTAACTCCAACATATCCAGGTTAAATTGAACCAGCTTCGTAGTACAGGCCTCAGGTGGCATCAGCTATGCATGGGCTCCTCCATCAGGCCTGGTCCTCCTCACAGAGGAAAGACCCTCAGTCCTCTCCAAACCAACAGACAGGACGTCCATCACACGGAGGTTTCTCTCTGAAGTCTCTGCAGCTCTCTGGACACCACGCTGTCTCAATCCGTCCACACTGAATATGAGAGGGGAAAAATGAAAATAATAAATGCTTTAGACAATAAGAAATATAAAGTTGACTGTTGAGTTGCTCAGTTTTTTTAGATTGTCAATACTATTACTGTATAACTAATATCTCAGGTTAAGATTTTAACATTTTGTCTTTTGAATTGTTTGTCTAAAGTCAAGGATCTAGAACTGGTACTTATAGTTTTAATGATACAGTCTGGTTATAATGCTGTTTGGAGGAGGCCTCACAGGTAAGAGCACTAACTAGCTACCATCTATGGAGGACGGAACATGACATAAGTATAAATAAATAAATGTGTAAATAAATGTATGAAGAAATACAGGAATAAATAAATAAATACGTAAATAAATAAATAAATACAGGAATAAATACAGAAATAAATAAATGTTGAAATAAATACACAAATAAATAAATAAAAGAATAAATAAACTCTACTACTAACGCCTGGCTAACCGCGCTGATTCGAATGCAGGAGCTTTACTGTTTAGCCCTTATCTTTATACATCCATGGTTTATCCACAGTTGTAAGGATTATTTATGGATATTGGTTTAAGAGCCATTGGAGATCATTTACGATCATTAGCGGACCATTTAGAGAACGGAGAACCAAAAGACTATGTCCAGTTTTGTGTGGAACGATGTATAGAGGACTTGGCTCAGCTCGACATGGATGTGGATGCTAACCCAGCTGTGTTTGAGAGTCTTCAAGAGGTTGCCCGCCAACTTGAAATCCTCTCGGAAACAGAAGAGGCGACCCTTGGGCGTCCATCTTACATGTTGCCCCCAAACGTTATTGAAGCACATCTTCGTTGGGGGCACACCGCTGGGGACATTGCGCAGGTGTTCGGGGTGTGCGAAAAAACAATTATTAAAGAAGCCATTAGCGAGTTGCCGTGGGTGTACACTGTACACAGAATGAACAGATGTGACTTGCCACGAATCTCTT